AGAGAGAGAGAGAGAGAGAGAGAGAGAGAGAGAGATAGAGAACAGTGGTGGTGACGAACTGCGTTAGCTAGCTGATGTTGATGTCAAATGCCTGTCGAATGTCGACTGTGGCATCATCCTATATAGTGCTAAGCTTATATAAGCTGTATATGTATATACGCATCAGGAGTTAATAAAGACAATTCCTGATATGCATGTAACAGCAACGAGAAACATACATGATAGCTCATGTTGATGTCGAATGCCTGTCGAATGTCTAATACAGCAGCATCTTATAGTGCTAAGCTTATATAAGCTGTATATATATATATATACATGTAACTGTAATGACAAAAATATATGATAGTTTATAAGTTATCGCACGTCTTTCTCATTCATGCAGAAAATGCCTACATACAAGTTACGAATACTACACTGGAAAGCAAGGTTCGCTGCAGTTAGTTATTCATTGCAGTGATCAACATCAGTACCTAATCAATTGATCTATCCGCCTAAATTGATTGACAGGTAGCGCTAGCCAATCAGCGTCGTAATAGGACGTTCTAAATGGCAATGCTTGGCAACGAAGTGACGCGGAGGCAACAATGCGGAGCACGTGAAAAACATGTACAGAGATCAGTGATTTCTGTATACTAACCCGATAGGCTTTTTTCCATTTTTTACATACCTATACGGTATATGTCTGCTAGGATTTGTAAAATATTCGTTTCAAATTAATTCTACCCGGAGTCATATTAACTGTTATTTGTGCACGAAGGGTCGTTGTCGTATAGGGTACTACATATATGTACCCGAGGTAACTATCTGATATGGTTAAGGTTAGGGTTAGGGTTCGGGTTAGGGTTAGGGAGTAGGCGTAGGCGACTCCCTAGAAGTACCTACCTCGGGTACATATATACGACAACGACCCCTTCAGCATGAGATACCGACGCTCCGGGCGCTTTGCCGACCAAAACTCGTTGCGGATCGCATGACCAGAATCTGATGTGTCACTTTAATTATGCAAACTGTGGGCATACTTTTACAACCAGCAACCATTTTGTAATGAACCGATGCGATATGCGGATACCGCACCTGCTGTTGGGGCAGGTCCTGTTTCAGCCGCAAATGCGGTCAAGTTCCAGTACGGTTCTGGTTCCAGCCGGTGATTCGGATTCCGGCTTTGGAATCGGCCTTACCCTTGATTCTCCGACCATCACAGCAGTTATTACACAGTTTAACGCATGACTCTCTCACAACGCTATAAATCCCTACCCTTGACCCATATATACATATTATTATCATTATTATTCTATTTATTAGATGTTTACGCAGAGAGACCACGTGTTGCAATAAAGACAGTTGGCCGGATTTTTTTCTCTTCCTCAAACGCGCACGCAATCCAAACAAGCCATCGTGCGTGACAATGCCCACGTACACCCTCGAATCTAACACTAACCACGCCCCCCTCACACGCGCAATACTACTCTCTCGACATACGCAAAATTTACATACGCGCGCATATATATTTTATATATATATATAACCAAGAGCATAACACAGCAGCCTCAGGGGACAGGACGGACGGACAAGGAACGCGGCCAGTATTTTCAAACTTCCCGCACGCACGCTTACAAGTTACATTCCGCGGCAAACCATCCATCCGCCCGCTTCCCTTATTGAATATTTATTATTGATTATATGACCCGGCGGGTGAAGGAGCGGGCGTGCGTGCGTGCGCGCGTGCGTGCGTGCGCGCGTGCGTGCGTGCGTGCTGCGGTCAGGGTCGAGGCTGCTCTCGGACGACGGAATCAATATCAGCTCTCTCTCTCTCTCTCTTTCTGTCTCTCCCTCTCTGTCTTTCGCTCTCTCTCCCTCGTTCTCTCTCGCTCTCTAACTCTCTCGCTCTCTCTCTCTCTCTCTCTTTCTCTCCCCCTCTCTCTCTCCCTCTATCTTTCTCGCTCTCTCCCCCCCCCTCTCTCTCTCTCTCTCTCTCTCGCTCTCTCTTTCTCTCCCCCTCTCTCTCTCCCTCTATCTTTCTCGCTCTCTCCCCCCCCCTCTCTCTCTCTCTCTCTCTCTCCCCT